AGCATTACAATCTTATAATCATGATTAAACAGTGTCAATCATTCTTAATCACTATCACTATCATTCTTAAAAGCCCTTTGGCACTATATATCACTATCATTCTTTTTTAAGCCCCTTTGGTTCACCCCAGCTGCCCCGCCCTTTGTAACACCAAGGCACTTCAGCATCTGTGCCCTGATGCTCTCCAAGAGTTCCAAGGCGCTGGGCATCTTGGCCTCGAGACCTCCATGGATGGTCGGATGGTACCCGGCCTGGTAAACAGCCATTTTTTTAGGGGAAAACTCACTATTTCTATGGCCATTTTCAATGGCTATTTTGAAAATAACCAGAGGGTACCTATCAATCGAGAATCATCGACCATAATGGGAACTTAAATGGTGGAAAAACCAATCAGATTGTGAAACTCACTGAGAGTTGAACCAACGAAAATGGGTTTAATTAATATAATTAATGCAACCAGTCAGGATGCTGTTTAAATTGTTTGAACATCAAGAATCAAGACCCCGAAGCCAATGCATCCCGTCCCTCAAGTGTTCAGTCGCTTCACAGAAATGTTTCTGGGCAATTGCACTCTGATTCTCCGCTGGGTAAGCATGTTGTGATTGTTGGTGGGTTTACTCAATCCCAAAAATATTGGTCAGATCGACCAATCATCTCAAGTTTGGTTGAAAACAAATAAAAGGTAGAATAGTTGTGACTGACCACTCTTGTTTGCCAAAGTCGTTGCACAATTCCATTTACATCAATATCTCCGCACCATATCTCGAAGCAATTGAACAACTAAAGCTTAAAGCCAACTAAAGATAATTGAAAATAACTTACGATAATAACTAAAGATAGTTAAAGATAACAAAAGATAATTAAAGAGATACCCAAAGATAACAGAGGATATCTAAAGTACGGTAACTAAAGTACCTACAGCAACTAAAGTAACAAAAGTAAAGTATATCAAGATACCTAATCATTCGCAGACCCTTCCTCTCCGCCCCTGTGGAAAATCTGATGCCCATCTGCTGCTGTGGCACCCGCATCCACAACTGCAAGGACGTTGTCCTCCATCTGTTCACCTCAGAGCGACTCGGTTGCTGGGTCTTGATTTCAATTTGCCCAGGAGGATGAGGTGATTTATAGATTTTAAGAAATTGTGATATATCTTAATATACTACAGTATACTACAGTATACTACAGTATACTACAGTATCAATATCTATCAGCAATATTCTGGTAGACGTTGGCACTTCTTCAATACACATCAATACCTTGTGTCTTGTTGGTCTGTGACCTGAAATACTCCTTTGCTGAGAAGAAGGAAATTGGCATTGGTTTTCACCACTATGTGGATATGGGTCAAAACCTTGGTACCTGCTGTTCATATCAAAAAAAACTACAACAGACTAGAACAGACGATTTAGATCTATTTGGGGATAGTTTCACATCTACCCCCTGCCTCTTCAGGTTCTCTGCTTTTGACCCATAGCCAAGTGGGATCATGCGGCTGCCCCGAAACATGTCCCGAAACATGTCTCCACCCAGTGGCGGTACTTCTGCACAAAGAGATCCACCTGTGATGTGCTCACTTCTGGTGTGACCAAGTCCATGAAATAATCCACTGGATTCGCATGCCTCGAAAATTCACAACTTGGGGGCGCGGAATCCTGAAATTCAGGCACCTTGTGCTGAGAAAAAGAAAAAAAGTGTAGTGGAACATCACCATCTGTCACAAATGTTCTGATGGGAAATCGTCTATTGCTTGTCTAGTTGGCTCTCTGGAAAGTCATTATGCTTAGAGATATGGGCGTGTCTGGAAATGGGGAATACACCCATTTCATCCATATTTTTTGGGGTAAATAATCTACTTTCATAGGTTATTTTCATGCATTGATTGCGTGTACGTAGCTTGCAACCGGGGTCCGTTGGCTTCTAAGCATCGGAGACATGGGAACGGATTGAGATTGCAAGCTCTCTCAAAATGACCGATTTTGCATGGCTTTGGTCATTTTCACTAAAAATCGGTAATTTTTACTAATTTATATATCCATCTGGTAAAGAGTAGTATATAAATCATCTCATGTTGCAGATAGACTTTGGCCCTGAGCTCAGGCGCAGATAGTGTGTGAATTTCCGGCAATCTGGCAATGAAAAACTCATCCAAGTTGGAGATGATGCACAGCAATGCTGCCCCTGACTGTCAGTGTCCCAACATCAAGGTGTTAAATCCCTCAGAAACCATCCACATCAGCAGAAACCAAGGTTCATTGGCACTTCAAAGCCATTGCTTTGCAAATATCCAACAACGTCCTGGTGCATCATGGGACAAAAAACATTGCAACATCAGAACTCCGAGACTCAGACATTGAGATGCTTCTGTGCCAGCATGTTTGCTGTGTTGGTGTTCTTGGTGAGGATTTCTTGTCTGTACTGGTGATTGCTGGTGTTCCAGACTGAAGGCAATGACGTACCTTTTACTATCCAAGCATGTACAGTGTACTGTACATCTCTGCAACCACACAAATGTTTTTATGATGTGTGATGTCAACCCAAGATTCATAAACCCTGATTTATTGGTATATCCATGGTATATCCCCCAAAGAGTCATAATCTACTAACAACTGCTACCACCTTTTGTTCATAGTCCAGGGGTCCTACCTGAAACATCTCCAGCTAAGTCCTCCATCCTTCCATTGTAAATAGCTCGTCCAGGGCCAGCAGTCATCAGCAGCAACTCGTCGAAGAGCTTCGCTACTTCCACTCCTGGTTTGAAGTATGGGAAAGGGATGAAGAAATAGTGATATCACCATCAAACCTAATAAGGATAATTTAGTGATATAATATAACATGATGTCACCAACAAACCTAGGGATTTATGAATTATATAAACCAACGTGGAGGTTTTTCGCAAGGTTTGACCAACCAAAGATTGGGATTCGAGGAGCAAATATGCGATGAGATGATGTCAGCAACAATGAGGACTTCACAGAAATACGGATTTTACCATCAATATCTAAACGGTCTAAACGGCGAATTACGCAACCAAATATGATGACGCTGCAAACCAACAAACCATAGAGACATCATCAAGAGAATCGAGGGATTCTACCACAAAAATGGAACTGTATATGTATATGTATCTGCATATAATATATACTGTATATATATATACACTGTATTATGTAGTGCATTTCAACAGAATGATGATGTTGACCAAGAAAAGCTGGGTAAACATCCCAGTGAAAAAAGGGTGACGTTAATATACGTTAATATTACCAACAAACATCAACGATGGAGATATCAACCAACAAGCCGCTTCAGCTTGCCCAAAAAACTGCCCATCGAAGACAGGGCTGCTCCAACACAAGGCGGGGAAAATGGGTAACCCATTCCTCCCCTTGTGGATATACCTATAAGAGCTCGGAGCAACCTTGAAAAAATAAACACCAACAGCCAATGCGCGCTGTTGACCAAGACAAACAATAGAGACAATTTCACAAAACCTGAAGCAAGTGCAAGATTCTTGGCTGATGAATTACCTTAGTCGCATGCGGAGCAGCACTTCAGCAAACCCTTCCCAGAGATGCGTTCTTGTCATGCCGTTGTAGTGATGCCTTCACCCTATGCCTGTGCCTGCCTTGATCTTGCATCCGCTCCAACACAAACATCAGTCCACCATATCTAGACCACCAGGGTCATGTTTCATCCTCTTTGACAAGTGGCCACCACAACGATGACATTGTAGAACTGTGCGATGTGCTTCATATACCTGCCGTTGCCGCAATTTCCAAACAAACCAAACACGCAGGATGGAAAAATCCACCATGCAGTTTGTCCCTCTTCTGTGATCTTGTGAGAAACTCAACCTATGCACCCATTCAAACGCCTTACATCCGCAGCATTGTTGTTCAGGCCCTGCTTGATGAATGTCAGGAGTACCATATTTAATTTGTATTTCCATTTGTTTTGTTGTGATTCCGGCTTTGTGAATTCTGGGTGACATCAGCTCAAAAATCAACACTGCCTCATGCACGTCTCTGCATCCGTAGCTGAGAGGCCGCTCGTTGGCTCGTCACAGAAAAAGACCTGGCAGCAGCGTCTCTGTCGATGAGTCAATTCCATGGAATCCCTGTCTGTTCACATCAAAATAGCTGGCAAATGGATGTCCATTCCCCCTAGAAATGGCGTAGTATTCATAGGTTTTGATCCGTAGCCATGCCGATCATCAAGTTCATAGCTCGGTTACCCCAGCTATGAGCCAGAGATGGCTGAATGGCTGATTCAAGACCTTCACCGGTTTGGTTTAAGGGAAAATCTGCAGGAAACTATGTTTTTACCCACCAAATATAGGGGGTTCAACCATAGACGTTCCCTTGGGAGACTGCCGGTGATCTTAATGGCAGGGACCAATCCCGATCAACGTCCTGGAATACGAATGTTTCTTCATGACATACAGTATATCATACTATGTTCAATGTCCCAGCTACAATATGTCAATTTTCAAACCATGTGTATCCATCTATATATCTTTCCATCCATCTACCTATCATCTACCTTTTATCGAAGGAAGTTTAGAAGTCAAACTTCCGACAATATGGACAGATGAAAAGCAGAGATGGGAAGAGTCAGAGCAGAGAAGAGAAGAGAAGAAGAAAGAAGATCAAAAAGAGAAGAGAAGAGAAGAGAAGAGAAGAGAAGAGAAGAGAAGAGAAGAGAAGAGAAGAGAAGAGCCACGCCTGCCACGCAAAGTGAAGGTGGATGTCACCGAGTGCCACGCCTGCCACGCAAAAAGCCGCGGCGTCCACGGCGTCATCTGGGAACCAAGCGCGCCACCAGAGCCAGCCCAGTGCCATCAGTGCCGCGCCTGCCACGCAAAGTGACGGTCGATGTCACCAAGTGCCATGCCTGCCATGCAAAGTGAAGGTGGATGTCACCGAGTGCCACGCCTGCCACGCAAAAAGCCGCGGCGTCCACAGCGTCATCTGGGAACCAAGCGCGCCAGAGCCAGCCCAGTGCCATAAGTGCCACGCCTGCCATGCGCAGTGACGGTCGATGTCACCAAGTCCCACACCTGCCACGCAGGATGCACGTCCATGTCGCCGAGTGCCACGCCTGCCACGGAAATTAGCCGCGGCGTCCACGGCGTCATCTGGCAACCAAGCACGCCACCAGTGCCAGCCCAGTGCCATAAGTGCCACGCCTGCCACGCAAAGTGAAGGTGGATGTCACCAAGGGCCACGCCTGCCACGCAAAGTGACGGTTGTCAAGTTGTGTGTGAGTAAGTTGTGTATGAGAAGTTGTCAAGTTGTGTGTGAGTAAGTTGTGTGTGAGAAGGTTGTGTGTGGACAAGTTGTGTTGGAGCAAGTTGTCTGTGGAGAAGTGGTGTGTGAGCAAGTCGTGCGTGCACAAGTTGTGTGTGAGCAAGTTGTGTGTGGACAAGTTGTGTGTGAGTAAGTTGTGTGAGCAAGTTGTGTGTGAGCAAGTTGTGTGTGGACAAGTTGTGTGTGGACAAGTTGTGTGTACAAGTTGTGTGTGGACAAGTTGTGTGTGAGTAAGTTGTGTGTGAGCAAGTTGTGTGAGCAAGTTGTGGAGGAGCAAGTTGTGGAGGAGCAAGTTGTGTGTGAGCAAGTTGTGTGTGGACAAGTTGTGTGTGGACAAGTTGTGTGTGAGTAAGTTGTGTGTGAGCAAGTTGTGTGAGCAAGTTGTGGAGGAGCAAGTTGTGGAGGAGCAAGTTGTGTGTGAGCAAGTTGTGTGTGGACAAGTTGTGTGTGGACAAGTTGTGTGTGAGTAAGTTGTGTGTGAGCAAGTTGTGTGAGCAAGTTGTGGAGGAGCAAGTTGTGGAGGAGCAAGTTGTGTGTGAGCAAGTTGTGTGTGGACAAGTTGTGTGTGGACAAGTTGTGTGTGAGAAAGTTGTGTGTGGACAAGTTGTGTGTGGAGGAGGAGGTGGAGAGGAGGCGGCGGGAGGAGGGCCGGAGGTAGCGGGAGTGCAGAACCAAAAACGAACCCCACACAAAGATGTGGGGAATTACACCACACTAATTACACTATACTACACTACACTACAATTTTTACATCTAATTGCGCTACACTACACTAATTGCACTACACTACACTAATTGCACTACAACTACAACAAATGCTACTACCACAGCTACAACAGCAATATCAACTACACCACATTACACTACACTGCACTAATTCCAGTGCAGTACACCACAACTAGACATACAAATGCAACTCCAACTACACTACACTACATTGCACAACACTACACTACACTACACCACGCTACGCTACGCTACGCTACACTACACTACACTAATTGCACTACATTACGCTACAACTGCAACTGCAACTACAATTGTAACTACCACTAAATTGCACCACACGACACTACACGACACTACAGCTACAACTACAGCTACAACTACACTACCTTACACTACACTAGACTGCACTACACTATACCACAACACTACAGTACACTACAATACAGTACACTACAATGCACTACACTAATTACACCACACCACAACTACAACTACAACTGCAACTACACCACACTTATTACACATTACAATCATTACAACTACAACACCACACTACAACTACAACATACTACAACTACAACTGCACTGCACCACACTTCATCCAGCAGTTGTGGGTGAGGTGACCACTGGAACCATTGCAACCACTCCAAAAAACACAACTTCAACCACCTTTCGGTCCATCAGTGGATTCGCTCTGCCATCCGTGATTCACAACAACCAACCGCTCCTATGGGTTTCCTATTTTTGAAACTTCCTAGTGGTTTCCGAATTGGACGACTAACTATTTATCTGGTCCAATAGATTACCGTTGGGAAAAGTGCAATGGAATTGCCATTACAACTATCATCACTATATACTGGAAATAGATGGTCACCCAACAACTGGGAAACTCTTAGTAGCTCCTTGGCTCCCCAATTCAAAATACAGAATATGGATACCCATAGTTCCCATAGTTCTTAGCTCTCCTATCCCTAGATAGATTATCATATCATAGTTTACGCATTACAGTTGCACATAATTCTGGAAATAATCCCATCCCTGTTCAGTCCCAAATGTCATAAAACCATGCTATGGTCCCAGTCATATTAGTGGTTTCATCCCCTACATCCACCAGGAGGTTTCGGGGGATGGGATCAGATAGGGATTTTCCACCATCGTTGGCAACGGGATCATCAAGTTGGATTGGATGACACCAACTATGAAAAATGGCTATTTCGGACTGAAAAAATGATCATCACAATCCAATCTAATTCACCCAATCACGAAAAAAAAACCTTTTCAACTACTAAATATGTACTGATTCATAGCAGACAAATAGTAATTTAGTGATATATTGATTACATACTATACATACAAGGAATTACGGCTAGTGATTACTAATTAATAGTTATATATCTACTGGGATCAGTATACAGTTTTAAATCGTGGATAACTATAAGTGTACCCAATTGGCTACTATATAGTTATATACTAATCATCTATACTAATCATAACCACAATTACATACTAATTGGAGGTTTCCTAAATAGGGGGTTTTGCCGTAACCCAAATCATCTCAGTTCAGTATTGCAACCTATGGGGACCTGGGGATCGGCATTTAGGAAACACCAAATTATATACTAATCATGTAATCTTATCAATATATTGTGTTGAATCATGGAAAACTAAAAAGTGTACTCAATTGGATATACTCTATCCACTATATTCAACGGATGGGTTAAGATAAATCTTACAGGAAAGCCCTATATTTGATGGGGGACCAGTTTCCTGTAGATTTTCCCTTAAACCAATCCATTGATATATAGTTAGATACTAATCCACTGTATATCTATATAATTACATATATCTACATAACTACATATATATATAGTTAGAATATAAATAAATATATATATATAGTTAGATACACTATATACAGTGGTAGATAATTTTAGATACTAATCCTAACCAAGTGTGCCCATCCCCTCCCTCCCCACCTGTGCGCCGGAGGTCAAGCGTTTGGCCAAGGACAAGCGACGCTTCTGGCCCCCCGAGATGCCACGCAGCGACGTGGCGTCGCCGATGTAGGTGTCCTGGGAAATCCATCGGTGCCCCCAGTGGCCACCAGTGGTAAATCCCCATAGAGATCCCCAGAAATGGCTGGAAAATCAAGATATCCAAGTGGTAGGTTGTTGAAATCCCACATTCCGGTGAAACGTTGGTTTATAAAGCCATGATGGGTATACGGTATATATATATAACCACCAGTAAAGGGTATGACATGATTATGACCATGAAAACATCACCGTCTGATTCTTTAAAAAAAAAGTATGGAAACATCTCCAAACCATCTGTAAAATCCATGAACTCTACATCATTTGGCCACCTTTTGCCATCGCCAACCCCTCCTTTTCTCCGTGGCTTTTCCCCGCCCGCCACGCGTGACTGCTGTCCTTAACCTCCATGAGGCCCAATACCTCCAGCCGTCGGAGGATCCACTGCTGTGCCATTTTGCGACTCACCAGGGAGGGGCGTTCAAACTTCAACATGCCGTTGAACTCAACGGCCTCAGTGCCGGCAGTGCTGCTTGATGCTGCTTGGGGGATCTTGGGGGTTGGGGATTGGCGAAGATGGAAAGCAGATGAAGAAATTCTGGTTGGGGGAGAGTAGTGATATGGCTTCACCATTCCGAAAAACTATTCTGAATCTTGAAAGCATTACTTTTTCACGGGTTCATAGTGAATCCGACAGTTGCCTTGCCTCGGAGACCGTCAAGTACTTTGGCATCACATCTTCCTGCAAGATTCAGAGCATCTTTTTGGATATCTGCAAAGCATACAAGTCGCCCTTGGTGATAGATAACTTTGCATCAGATCTTCAATGTTGATTCCAGGTATTCCAGCTTGTCACCGTGACTTTTCGGAGATTTGCTGCCCAGCATTATCTGGTCCTGGGGCACATAAGCAGAGATCCTCGGAAAAAGTTTATCTCTTGGACGGCCATTAAAGTGGACCGTGCCGCTATATGCAGCCGACTTCCTCAGCCATGTCAGCTGGCCCAGCCATGGTATCTCCGAGGAGGGGCACTTTGGAAGATGATTTTTCAACCAAATATCCGGAAGTATGCGTTATCACTTAAAATCTTCTGCTTTGCATTGAAGTTGATCGGAAAGAAACACCAAACAGACCCGACGATGGGCCAAGTGGGGCTTCACCACTAGCCCTAAAGTTCTATCTATATTATACATATTATATACATAATATATACATAATAATATGATATAATATGTACAATATGTATACTGGCTAGCTGCGCGCCGTACCAAGTCCAAGGATCTGCCCCGCCAAAATGTCCTTGGCTTCTGCCCGGCAACACAACGGCAACTCTCATAACTAGGTGTCATGGATTCTCATGGTATATATATATATATATGTACTTAATGACGTAATGGGCATATTAATGGGATTTAATGGGCATATAAACCAACTTATACCAACTTATAACTGGGGTTTGCTGGCTAGTAATGACATCTATCACGCTCAGTTGGTTGAGTTCATCACTCCTAACGCTTGTCGTAAATCCCTACGCATACTGGTTGAATCCGCAGTGTTTCCACATCAAAAATCTCCATGTTTATTGGTTGAAATGTTGGTATCCCATGATTTTTGGTATCCCATGAAATCCCCATGAAATTCCATGAAATCCCCATTTCTGAACTGTTGATGCCTAAGTTTGCTTCCAGAAATGCCCCATTTTGCGAAAGCCAAGCGTCCAGTAGCGTGGTCTTGCCACACCCTGATGGCCCCATGATGGCGGCCAAATGGCCGGACTCAAAATGACCTGAGATGGGCGCCTCAGTCGGCCCGAGCTGCCCGGCAAAGAAACATGTGGATTTAATGTGATTTAAGACAAGTGATGGTATCATTGACATATAGTAAGGATATGTGTGTGTGTGTGTATTAATTAATTAATTAATTAATTAATTAATTAATTAATTAATTAATTAATTAATTAATTATTTAATTAATTAATTAATTAAGTAATTAAGTAATTAAGTAAGTAAGTAAGTAAGTAAGTAATCAATTAATTAATATATTTAGTTAGTTAGTTAGTTATTTGTATAATATATATATATTGATTTATTTATTTATATAGTAATGTAAAATATAATGGGATGTAATTAATAGGGATGTACAGTGATATACAATGAGGATCCTCCTTAAAAATAGGGGGGTGGGGTCAGGGCTGGCCATTGTGTAGTGGACCCAGGGTACCCCTCTACAAAAAGGGTCATTCAAAGAATGTACCCCTCTACAAAATGCTATGTACCTTATTCCCCTCTACAAAGTGACCAGATCATACACCCAAAATTGAGCTGAAAAAACAATAAAAAACAAGATTCTTTCATAGTTGGAACAGGTGGTTTCTCTACAAAATGATGCCAAAACTGAATTAGGTCCCCCGTTTGTATTCCCCAAATTGGTTTCTTGGAACATATTTTGTAGAGGCACAACTTGGTACAACAGCCCTTTTCCATACTGTCCGTTGCGCTGATGCCATAATATCATCTCACTTTGATTCACTTTGCCTTTTCAACAGGCATGCGATAGACCCTGATGAAGCAAATCAAGCAGCTTCATCATTTGTCGATATTTATCGTACATGTTGTTTATCATTTTTTTGTTGAATCCCATGTCATCCTTAATCATCCTTTTTCATCCTTTTTCATCCCCCTTCGAATTAGGGGGGTGGGGTTGGAGCCACCCATTTAGTAGTGGCCCCGGTATTTTTCTCTACAAAATGACTTGACTCAATCTACAAAATGGGCTGCCTGGAAATTTCTCTACAAAGTGCCTGGCCTTGGATAGGCTTTCTCACTACAAAATGAGTGCTGAACATTGGTTAAAACAGGGTTGATTTTTTTTTCATCAAAATGGTTTTCAAAGGCTGTTTTCAACCATTTTTTAAGACCCAATTTGTAGACTAAAAATAGGCTCCGAGGGCCCCTGAGCAGTTTGAAAAATCCAAAACCGCTTTGCGTGATCAATTTCAATATACCCATTTTGTAGTAAACCCAAAACGCACCAAGAACCCAACTTGAGGACACCGTCTGGCACAAAAATGTTCGCTCATTTTTCTTGCAGCTACACCGATTGTCTCGCTGTGCCATGGCCACTCACCCGCTTGCGCAGGCAACCAGGGATTGGAATGCAGCACATTGATATACATGTTCAATAGTCAGACGTGTCTCAATAGTCAGCCCGTGGCAACCGGAGCATATTTTGGCTTGAAATCTTGGCGTCAAGATGGCACCGCCAGGGTGTCCTCACTTCTGCGCGGTTCGCTTGTGTGACGGGGGCGTTGAAACCAGCATGGGATACTGCGCGGGGATGTTGGCGCATCTTGACCCAAGGTTAGGGATGGTTAGTGAATATGACACAATAGAAACCATGAGCAAAGACTATGTTTTGATATTTTTGAAAAATACCGGGGCCACTACTAAATGGGTGGCTCTAACCCCACCCTCTACTAAATGGGTGGCTCCAACCCCACCCCATTTAATTTCGGAATGTTAATATGTTTTCATTTAATTTAGATATTATTCATCAGTATATGTCTATATATATATTTCTTATTTCTTGCCATGTGCTGGGAGAGAGTTGGGAGGAATGGACTGGCAGATTTAGGCAACCCATTTTGTAGCGCTTTCATGTTTGTACACCCAATGGCAACCCATTTTGTAGTGTTGTCATGGAGTCAAGCCATTTTGTACACCCAATAGAGGTACCACTCATTCCTGCGGCGCTGCTCTGAGCCAGACGGTGCAACAAGATCATGACCGGCCTCAAGGTGAAGAAAAGCCATCATCGCTGTTACTAGTGCAAGTGTCTCGGCACATTGGCCCGGCCAGGTTGAGCCTGTTCTGTTGCCTTGGGTCTTCATGGATCTTCATCATACCGGGATACCGGTGTGGCACACTACATTCACCAGTAACAGCGATGATGGCTTTTCTTCACCTTGAGGCCGGTCATGATCTTGTTGCACCGTGTGGCTCAGAGCAGCGCCGCAGGAATGAGTGGTACCTCTATTGGGTGTACAAAATGGCTTGACTCCATGACAACACTACAAAATGGGTTGCCATTGGGTGTACAAAACGATTTCAGCTCATGAAAGCGCTACAAAATGGGTTGCCTAAATCTGCCAGTCCATTCCTCCCAACTCTCTCCAGCACATGGCAAGAAATAAGAAATATATAGACATATACTGATGAATAATATCTAAATTAAATGAAAACATATTAACATTCCGAAATTAAATGGGGTGGGGTTGGAGCCACCCATTTAGTAGAGGGTGGGGTTGGAGCCACCCATTTAGTAGTGGCCCCGGTATTTTTCAAAAATATCAAAACATAGTCTTTGCTCATGGTTTCTATTGTGTCATATTCACTAACCATCCCTAACCTTGGGTCAAGATGCGCCAACATCCCCGCGCAGTATCCCATGCTGGTGCTTCAACGCCCCCGTCACACAAGCGAACCGCGCAGAAGTGAGGACACCCTGGAGGTGTCATCTTGACGCCAAGATTTCAAGCCAAAATGCTCCGGTTGCCCGGGCTGACTATTGAGACACGTCTGACTATTGAATACTATTGAGACACAACATGGGTTCCTACTTGTCTATACTTGTCTGGCATTTGTTTGATAAATATTTTTTCTCCGTTTCAATTTTTCCAGAAACACAATGGATTTACTACAAAATGCAGGGGTTCCAGTCTTGAAGAATCCGCCATGGGACTCGGTAATTTCACTACAAACTGCCTGGCCTTGGAAAGTCCCTTTTTCGACCAAATTTCTATCTTCATCCATGGGCCCCGGCATTTTTTTCTACAAAATGACTTGCCATCCAAAATTGAAGTGAGCTTTGGACCTTTTCACAAGGTGGCCTCACTACAAAATGACCCATAGTGGCCTTAAGGCCACCCATTTTGTATGGGAAATTCGAAGGAGGATCCTTTTTCCATCTTTGTCATTCTTGGTCTATCTTCTTTGCACCATGTTCAAATCCATTGATTTCAAAAAAAATGCTCTCCGTTACAAAAACCCCTGAACAAGGAGTCTGGGCAGCATTTATCTACAAAATGTTCTGCTTGACCCCATTTTGTCACTGATTACAAAATGCCGTGCGCAAGGTTTTGGGAAATGCATAACATCATCAACAAGAAATTATGATATCAGGTTTCCCCTCTACAAAAAGGTTTGTGTGAGGAATGTACCTCATAAAAAAATGGGTTTACTACAAAAAGGGGTCTTTTGTAATGGCCTTGAGGCCTCCCATTTAGTAGGGGATATTTTAAGGGGGATCAATGAGGTATAATTTAATAATTGGATTACCCTCGGGGGCCATCGGGCCATCAAAGATGGCTGGCTTCACTCAGGGAATTTCTCACCAAGGATGACAGTCCCGATTTTTTCCGATAGAGCAAGTCCCCACAACAGGCCTTGGAGACGACTCAATTGGTGGTTCTGGTTGGTAGTTGGGGTAACCGAACAATGTTTTTCACCTCTCAGAAGTGGATTCTGGGCTTCCAATCCACACTAAAAATGAAGACACCACGGAAGAAAGGACTGCAAATGACACAACCGATCTGGAAATGTGTGGAACCCCTGCTACTATGGTGAACGTCAAACTCTTTTGCTACGGTTCTTCATCCCAGCACCCATCCCCTCCGTCCCCATCTCCGCAGCAAGTGGCCAAGATGTCTTTCTTTTGGCCATTGTTCTGGGTGACCTGCACAGTCGAGTGTTAACTCTCTGATCCCTTGATTGGAGGAATCGGAGGACTGATTGCACCTGGAAGGCAATGTCTTTGAATGTCAAGATGGTGTCCGAACACCTGGCCGTCAGAATGTGAGGCGGGTAGCATTGAATTGGTCAAGCTTCAACGTCCTTGTCCTTTGTTGTGGAAAAATGTTGCGGGGCCTGTCTGGCCTACTATTTATATTCATTTATCATCATTTACCGATTGATCCTATTGGTTGTGAAGTGGGGGTTAAACCCTCTATTTACGGACCACCGGGAAAAGGACACCCATGATTGACCACTTAGTGATTTTCCAGTGAATTCAGAGAATCTGGGCTACCTTTTCAGTTCCCCGACATTCAGCCAGCCCCCCAGATTATTCCACATGTGCTATGGTCAAGTTACATGGAATGGGATATATAAACCCCAGATGGATCCAAATGGGAGGGATGACTATGCCCTTTGCTGCGAAAATAAGCCAGCTAACTTGACCATGACGCTGAATTTCAAAGGAAGTTATACAAATCATAGCAATTCACCTGTTAAGTTTTGAGTTACGCCATTTTGCGAGACTTTCCTCAATCCTAACCATCATTCACTGGGTTGGATTTGAGGGAAAATCTACATAAAATGATGGCTTCTACCAAACAAATATGAGGCGTTCCTATCAACTTGTTGCCTTCATCCATCTTCATCCAATTCCCATCATCATATCATATCATATCATATTATATCATATCATATCCCTGGCGGATTTTCATTCACATCACCTTTAGAAATACCCAGTTCCCCCGGGTCACCCTGGCGGTGCCCCAAAAATGCCTGGTGGAGTGACTACTGAAGGTCTCGGAATCGCAGTCCCCGTGCTCCAGGCAATCCAGGGCCTGGTTTTTCGGAGGTTTTTATGACCAGTATCCCAATGTGGTTAATAGTGTTTAATAGTGATTAATAGTGATTAATAGTGTTTAATAGTGATTAATAGTGATGAATAGTGATTAATAGTGATTAATAGTGATTAATAGTGATTACCCTCACTGGATTAGTTTAAGGGAAAAATTTACAGGAATCCCATGGGTTTTGACCATCCTCAGGCCTGGGCCTGGGTCAAAATTGAGTATCCCAATTATTGGATTGTTACCCGGCCTGGTAAACTAACAAAAAACTATGGAAAGATCCACCATTTTCTAGCTGGTAATAATCCACTATAAATGTGGTATTTTCAATAGCTATGTTAAATTACCAGAGGGTATATACTATAACTATGAAGGATATCAATATTGGTTACAATATAACTAAGATATGGATATGCTAACCAACTTAACTATGTCATAGACCCTGACATCATCAAATAGTACCAAGATGTACCAAGATTGTACGTAGTTTTAACCTCGTTTGTTTAAATAGATTGTTATAGTGTAAATTGTCACATCGTTTGTATAATCCCACGTTAATCATCAACACATATCTGGGTAAATTATCATAGTTCACTAACCTGAAATAAGTTGATTTTGGGATATTACGGTGAGGTTACTGTGAGGTCACTATAATTTACCCAGAATACTATACAGTAGGTAAATTGTAGTTGTTGTAACCAAGTTGTTATAACAAGATCGCCAATATTCCCATTTGGACCAATTTGGCCAACATGTTATTTTACTATAACAATTGTTCGCCTACAATCATGTAATGACTACATAATATCACTTCTACTCATTTCTTTATATATATAATATAATATTGTATAATCAATTGATCAAAACAACATATATATATGCATAATGATTATTGTGTATTATGATAATGTGTTTTTAAAAACAATAATCACGAATAGCGAGAAGTAATCGTGATGACAATAATCATAATCATGATGATGGTGATTATGATGATGATAAAAGGCAATTTTACAAAGTGAAAAAAAAACAACAAAGATGAAATTAGGGTCCAAAACTTAGGGCTGCTGGTTTCCCAGTTGATGACACACGGATCGAAACCCTGGTACCTTTCTGAGCCCTTCTGTTCACTCTGTTCACAAAATAACTGTTGTTCATGGATGTTCATTCCGCCAAACTGTCGTATTCCATAGGTTTTGACCACCGTTCAACGGTCTTTGGCGCCAATTGGACAATTTCAAAAACCCGTCTATGTGCAGGTTGAAATCAGCATCACTGGTGTTGCTGATGTTCTCATGCTTCAGGCGCAATTCCTGGTTTATTCCGTATTTATACCTCCTAGATTCCGAAGGAAAATCGCACGTCTGGATGTTCGAATTTATGAGACTTCAGCAATATGGGTATGGGTCAATACCTATATGGGTATGGGTCAATACCTATAGATACCATTTTTAGTGGGATGAACATCCATTTACCAGCTATTTTGATGTGAACTACAGGGGTACTATTGGTTTTGACACACTGCCATATCAACCGGTGACCAGGATGGAGCCTCCTGACTCAACCTCATCTTATCGGACCATTTTTCTTGTGCATCGCTCGGGCTCATCTTAGCGCCATTGCCTCTCCCAGTGGCTCCAAAATCCATGGGCGAAGTTTCCTATTCAAAACTACCCAACATGGCCAAACAACTTGGATGATTTGGGGTCCCCATGGGTACCCCAACAGAAACCAGCATTTTATGTACAAATTGTTACTTCAGAGGGATGAACAGTTCAATGAAGCTGGGAACTCGAGGGGCAGAGAAACTTTGGCGCTCTACGCCATGGTAATGTGGGAATTTTGAGAGCAAAAAGTTTACTAAACATGAGTTAAGCAAGCACACGGGATTTCACTAGTGGACCAGCAAAGATATGCAGATTTTAGCAATGGGGATGCAACCAGCCCAAACATGGGCCCATTTCACGAACAAAAATGTTGCCATGGACCCGGCAATGATGGGTATCGAAGATTCCAACAGATCAACTGCGGGGTAATCAAGAGAGAAAGAGTGAAATCACTACTTAAGGGATGGCCAGCAACAGTAATCTCTGGGTGGTCTATTTCAATGCATGGCGGGTGGCACTGAAACACTTTGGGGCCAAGCCTCCCAAGTTTGGGGGTCCTCCAAAATTGGTGCACAGCCAACGCTACCGCGTAAGCCGCGCGCCTGCCCCTGTGCTGTCCACCCGGCTTCCTGCACCAGAGCTTCCTCCCAGGCTACTCTTCCATGAATTGGATTTTCCCTCCTGCTGCGAATGGCTTGGAAACTCCATCTCTCGGGCAATGGTAGTGTTTTAAGAAAGAAAGCACAAGGACAATTGGGACAATTGGCAACTGCTGGGCAAGGAATCTCATCCAGCCATGACGAAACCAGTGGTCGTCCTTTGTCATCTTGGCTCGGCTGCCCATCAGCCAAGCAGGAGTCACTTCAGCATCCTGCAGAACTCTGGTGCCATGGAGGTCAACCCCCTTCCGGTTTGTTCAACCAGGGTTTTGGTCACTGCTCAGATGGAGGTTTCCTAAAATGGGGGGGGTACCCTAAAAACGGATGGTGTATCATGGAAAATCCCATTACAACGGATGATTTGGGGGTACCCCATTTTAGGAAACCCATATATGATGACCCTCCACCTACTTCCCCAAAAGAAGCCGCGCTTGCGCCTGCTTTTCAACGTCCTTGATCTCAGCTGGCCCGCCGGCCCCTGAGCGAAGCTTCAATCCCAACCAGACGCATATGTATATATATATATATGGTTACCCCCCCACGTCGACCCCCCTCATCTATATATAACATGTTACTGCATGTATCCAATACAGCTACAATACTGTAATTTACAGTGTTTTTGTTTGTTAGTGTCAAGATATGTTACAAATTAACCTTTCAACATGTAGGCTGCATGTTTGATCAATTTCCGTTTGATTTTTTTAGCTTAATGGCGTTAGCTCTTTTCCCAACACTTGTCCATCCTCACAGCTTTCTTATTTAAGTGTAGATGAAATTTCAATCAACACGAAATCAGAATCGAAAAAAAAAAAAAAATCTCAGAGACTCTTGGCTGGATCCTCCATCCACAAGACCTCTGGAAAATTGTTTGTTTGGGATTTTTCAGGGTTTTTTTTTTCGAAGTTTTTCTTCTGGGGTCTTGTCTAGACCCTTCCATCCAATAAAAAGGTTCTTTTTAAGGTACAGTATACGAAAGGTATATTGAATGGCATATTAAAGGTGTATTGGATAGAAAAATGTATATTGTTGGTAGACTAAAGGTATGTTTTTGAAGGTATATCAAAGGTATGTTAAAGATGTATGAGATGGTGTTTCAAAGATATATCAAAAACATATTCATGGACAGTAAAGATCATATATATATATATATATTACATGGTTATTTTTGATATATTACTATCAATACTAAAGTATATCCTCTGCATCTGCTTCCATTTTCCACCCATCTCTGTATATTGAATGTTCTTGGCAAGCAACCAGAAAATCAATGTTTATACTGTCGCGATGGGAATTTGCTGACCTGGAGGATGGGTATGTTGTTGTGTTCGGGGGGTCGTAGGGGGCTGGGCATATATATATATATATGTATATATATATATGCGAGACACGCTTCTCGGCACTTAAAGAAAAAGTCACTTAATGATGGAGATATGCATTTCATGATTAGGAAAAAGCAATCATTCATGGTAAGGAGATATGCATTTCATGATTAGGAAATACACTCGTACATATATATATACATATAATTCATATTATGCAAAAAGAAACGGACAGTGCGGCATAAGCCTGTAGGCTCACAGCCAAACACCTGCGAACTCAACAACAAAATAAACGCTTCGATCAAAACATCAACGGGTTGATTTCAATGGTCTTTACCATTAAAATCCATTAAATACAGGGGGGGTCCTGTAGATTTTCCATGATTTTCCTTTAAACCAAGTCTGGGAAAACCGGCAAATTCCCTGAGGCGCTGGCCCAAGTCTTTTGCCATGGGCTGCTCGGACATGCCACTTGGCCAAAGGCAACTCTAAAGCTGTAAAAGTCTGCGGGTTAAAAAGCAGAAACTGTGATGAAAAATGACAAGCATTGACAAGCCATATATAAGAGAAAGCTGGGCTGAGTTCCAAGATTCTACAAGTTGGCTCAAGAATTGTCAAAACTCTCAAGGATAAGCTTCCCATAAACTTGTGTTTAGTTCGCCCTGCCTAAGGTCTCCTGAACAACAGGTAAACACGGCATCTTCGTGGGGGGGCGGTTGCTGCACCGGGAACTCAGGTGACCATCGAGCAGACCATGGATGGCTTTAGTTGTGATGCTAACTAGAATGTGGCATATTCACATATAATCACCTTGTTATATATATATGCATCACTTTATATCATGTTATATCATGTTATATCTATGTATGTATAATCTCGCAAAAGGCAGGTTCACCTGCCAAAGACAATCACACTATATACGGGGTCTCAAACCTGAAAAGCACGCACCATCACGGAAAGAGGCTCAACGCCAGTATGCTACTACAAGGCATACAGCAAAATCATGGCAAGAATTTCATGGCAACACCGCAGTTTATTCTGCTCACTTTATGTATGAACAGATGATGACCATCATTGAATCATGGAAGACTCAGCTTGGAGCATTCCCCGTAGCTGGCAATTCCACCACCACTGGACAAGATGCCCCGCAGCACACCTCTCCACTCGTCATCGACGTGGCGGTGGCTACGTCACAGCTGAAATTTGTGTCCGTGCTTTAGGAAGTCTGAAGGTGAAAGAAATACTGTGAGATGCTTTGTATATCTTTGTATATACCATTTCTGCCCCCAATGGCCAACGCCAAGATTTGTCAAATACCACCAGATTTCAATGCCTGAGGCCAAAAAGCAGCCAAGATTCAAAGGTGATGCTGTACAAACAAAATTACAGAAACCTTTGAGATGGTTGTGGCAATGCGCTGCAAGTCAGCTTGCATGCCCTTTTTGCAGTGACCAAAATGCCCACCACACTATGCAACAATCCCATAAAGTGTCATGGTTCTTACGCCTTGCAGCTTGATTTGTGCACAGCATGATGTGGAAGCTTGGGAAACCCCCGCAACAGCTGACCATTGAGCCAAAAAGGATCCAACCGGCAGTCCCGGCAGTCGCTCGAAGCAGATCAAACATGGGGAACTCCCTGAAATCCTCCACAAAAACGGAGCTTTCTCCTGGAAAATCATCAGATTTTCAAGCCATGGAGCGGCACCAGAGGTATCCAGTTGGATTTCCAGTGGATGGCCATTTTTGAGGATGTTCACATGGTCTGAGATGGCCATTTCCTCATTTCCCACATTAAAAATTGCCATTTTGGGAGAGTTAAGCCGACACTTTCAGACACCTACAGAACATTTTACCGCTATGGATCTGCGCGATTTAAGCCAAACACCAAGCCGCGCTTCCAGGACCAAAGCTGCATCTTGAGATCATTCACATGGACCAAAAGCCTGGTAAACCTGTCCTGTCCCATCATGAGAATTCGCAGAACAAATGGTGGGTTCCAATCCATGGGGGTACTCCCATAGCTGGATAGTTTATTTCATGGAAAATCGGAAAATAAAATGGATGATTTGAGGGTACACCCATGGATTGGGCACCTCCAAATTAAACTGTTGGGATGCAGCCACCCAATCTTGGAATATGTGGGACCGATGCCCCTTCATGTCAAAAGCATGACAAATAATGACAATAAACTGTCCGCCAAAAATATCCGAAAATCATTGAAGACAATGCTTTCGTCCAGGAAACTGAATAAAACCTGCAGCTGACTTCTGAAAGCACGGCCAGCTGGCCACAGACTACACAAGTCTGACATCCCCATTGAGCATTGCTCTTGACTTCTCATCCTTTGATTCACCTTCAAGGCTTCAAGGTACAGAAGAAGCTCAAAAAAATACGATCCCGGGTCCCTAGCATTTTTGGATCCGAATCTAATAATTAATTAATTAATTAATTAATTAATAGTTAATAGATATTAATAGTCTATATAAACCGACATGATGATATGACACAATGATAATCAGGATCCAAGTCCTCTTGACCAATGCTCACCGAAACGAAGTTTCCATCCACCAGATCAAGTTGGCTCGGCCAATTCACCGGCCCACCAGGAGGGACCTGTCGGCGGGATCACTTCAGCCCATCATCACAGAAGACGAGGAGCACAAATGAACTCATTCTACAAGTGGATTATGATCATCTAGTATGTTGGGTTTTGTATAATCCGTTGTCATCTAGCAACAGTGGTTTAAAAATGTTTAAAATGCTTTAAACACTGCTAATTTGGAATCATGAAGTGTGCGACTGTGGGGTGCAAATAAAATCAAGCAATTAGGTATTTTTCAACATCTTCACCCCAAAATACATCTCAAGTCGTCATTGACGCTTCATGACTGTTCTACGAAACCAAGTTTGGAGTCCCTGGTTTTGGGACATACCCGTCTGACAGCTGAGCGCCGTCATTGGTCATGCAGGAAAGTTTCTTCCCTGCTCAGTCGTGCATAATTGGAAGCAACTGATTTCATCCAGTGGCAAGGGCAATCCTTTGGATGTCTTTAGAAACTGCAACCGTCAATCATCGTCAATTTCCATCTCACATGTTAGATGTTAGCAGTCAAAGCCATTCCAGATTTGAACTCAGACCATCCCTCGGATTTCCAAGCTCTTGCTGATTACCAATTGCCTGTCATTAAGTGACTCAAAATCTCACATGCTCAACTGCTCCACTGCGGGTGAGATTTGGCGCACAGATCTCACCTGCCAAACGAAGCGGCGCGAAGACTTCCCCCCAGCACATCGTGTCGTAGGTACCACGATAGGATCAAGATGCGAAGAACCCTCCTAAAATGGGTTCCCCACGGTTCCCTGCCAAATCAGGTGCCCCCCCTCAGAAGGTTACTACATGTTACTACTACAAAAACTCGCCGAACATCTGCAAATCCTGGTGCCTCAGAACTGCACCCGGTTGTACTTTGGTACCTCTAGAAGCTTTCTCTGCACCAAACCAACTCTGTGACGCAGCCCTGACGTCATGGCGGCGGTTACCTCTTGGGGCTTGGTGGCCTTGTAGGAGATAACGGCAACAAATCCAGCGAGTGGCATGGAAAAAAAAGCGAGTAGCGAGTGAACATCCCACAGAATCACCTGGAAACACTTCAAAACAACCTCAATTCAAAGCACTCGCATATAGAGCAACTGAACTCCCAATTTTCTCAGAAACCCTGGTGCATTCATTAAACCAGCTACGGCTAAAGAAGGTCCATCAATGGATCCAAATTTCTGTGTATTCCATACAGAACCCTCAGCCCCCTGGATGTTTAATCTGGACCCTTGCCAACTTGTGTGGTGTATTGATGTATTTTGGTCAACATCGGTTTCAATGGGGTCCTCTGAGCACAAAGAGGGCTTCCTACTAGCTGTCAGAATCAGAATCATTTGACATCATTTACTATATGTACTTGTTGGATGAGAGAAAGGGGGACTACCCCTCAATTAAACACGGCCCAAGACCTTCTGTCAAACCTACTGGTTGCGTGATATGGATTTCGAATTCGTGGATGAATGTCATTAGACCAGGTAGTAGAACCAGGATATAACTATCGACTATCATTTCTGGGTAAAATCCTCGAATTTGGCGGTCACTCTCGCTCATCAGGGGTTGAAGCTTCAGCACTTGAAGCCACAAGGGTGATTTGACAACCAGACAGCAGCAACTTCAGCACGAGGGTTGAAACGCATTTTTTCATGCTTATAACTTCTAACTCCATAAGTTCCCAAACAAAACAATCAACGGTCCGCGCTGGAAACGGTCCGCGCCTTTCCCGCGTCCAGCAGATCGTCATCCTCGGGCCTTGGAGCTGACGCTTGTTCACCAATGGAAATGATTTCAATGGGGATCTCAACAGTGGGTGTTTAGCCAACATGGAGAACCCACAGAACTTGGATTATTTGGATTATTTCGCCAAAAAGGGCATATGACCTCAAAAAATCAGATGCAACAAGCAACGGCAACAATGATTGGGATATCCTGAATATACAACCAACAAAAAGGAGGATACAACCAGCAAGAATAAGAATACAATAGAATACAATAGAATACAACCACCAATCACCGTACATTTACATCCAACCAGTACTCATGTGAGATTTGATGATGGTGGTTATATGATGTTATATGCTTGGTCTGTCCCAAAAATTATAAGCACCAACATCTATGTACCTCTCGATGGCCCAGACTTGCTGCTCGAAGTCTGGCTGCTTACGACATCCAGCTGTTGATGATTCCCAACTGCTACACGTTTGGGGAAAAAAGCTTGGATACTATAGATCGCCTTGGATGCCATTGGATGCTGGACAACCGCTAGATTGGTAATGCCTATGTTGGTAAACCATGGTAAACCTGTATAAACAGCCTGCCCCAAAGTTGCGATGCCGCTGGGTGCAGCAACTCCGAGCACGAGGACCATGGATCATCTTCGTCCTGGGGCGCCTGACAGCCGAGCCACAGATTTGATGATGACTCATTCAACATATATGACATATACATGGTGTCAAAATGTTTCAAATGGGCTTACCTGGCTTACCTGACTGGCTCTATCACGCACTTGAGCAGTGGCCAAGAATGGCCAAGAGCTATTCACTAAGTAATCATGCGGAAAATGTCGAGTATCTACTAGTATCTACCACCAGAACTCCAAAGACTCAGCATGTTTCATCATGTTTCATCATGTTTCCATATCTTTCCCTTCAAAGCCGACCCACCTGGCCCATGGGATAGATACGGATCGGGAACTTGGCACTTTCCAAGGGATACGAAAGCTGCTCAGACCTGGCAAATGTAGTGAACAGTCCCGACTTTTCAATGGAGGTGTTGATGCAAAAATCATAATCATCGAACTACCCTCTGGTAATTTAACATAGCTATTGAAAATGGCTATTAATAGTGGATTTTCCCATTGAAAATGGTGATTTTCCATAGTTATGTTAGTTTACCAGAGGGTAAATGGTTTTTTCCATTATTCTGGCTGATTACCAGATGATTACCATGGGGAATTTTCCATTGTTGCGTTTTTATACAGAGTCTACACATCACTGGCTCCTGCACTCAATTGTTCAGGTCAGATCCTCTCAGCCAACAAACCACAACGAAGTTTCCATTTACGGGTGCTTTACAAACCTTTGAAAACATTGGGATTTCTTGGTGGGTGGTTTTTTAATCGCACAACTATCACCGTCTCCCGCCCGGCAATATGCCAGCAACACCACGAAGTGGGAGCAGGCCTAGGCTTGGAAAATCTGATAAATCCTCAAAACAGTGGATTTGCAAACCTTCAAAGCGGCTGAACATCCGTCCTTATAAATTTATTAATGTATAAAATATCATGCAAAACATGTATGTATACAAAAATATAAGAGCATTCACCATTAACCTCCTTACCAATCTTATTATAATATATTATAATATATATTATACATTGAATTTAACCTCTACAGCCACATCTCTTCCTCCCACGTGCGGTTTCTCCCTCTCAGGATCCAGCACTTTTGATACCGGTGCCTTTTGCTCAATGAGGCGGCTCAGGGGCAGTTCATCCTCGCTTTCTTTGCCTTGCGTGGTGGATCGGTGCACTGTACACAAATGACCACAAAAGATTGGGCTAAATGGAGGGAAATCATAGGGGATGCAACTAGCCAAATTTGGGATATTGCATCATATTGCCATGTGCGAACACAATAATACTATCCCAATATATCCCAATCGTCACATGGTTGCATAGTAAGCAATGATCATGGGGCCATGGGGATATTGGACACAAGGGTGGAACCAACAAGCTGGGCCGCTAGCGATGTTTTGGTGAGGAGTTGCACCTACCTACCAGTTGTAAATAGCAGCCGTGGCAAATCGTCATTTTCGGTCTGGCAAAATTCCAATGTTTGGGTTCCTTAGACGCCACTTTATTGGTTGGTTAAAGTTCCAGTTTGGGGTTGCCCTCTGGTAGTCAAACATGGCTAGCTGGAAAATCTTCCATTGAATTACTTCGATGATGTTGCCATTTCAATGCCCATTTAGCTGAAAAATCCCCTATTTAGTTCTATAATGTTCCAAACCTCCAGTTTAGTTCAGGCACTTCCCAGCCAGCCATGTTTGACGTTCCACGGAGGCAGCACCCACCATCCGCTACCTTCATCTGCTGCTGCTGCTGCCTGAAAATTGCAAGCCCAAAGATGTAAAGTTACCAGTCGTGAATCACATGTATGGAATGAAACCTATAGAAAACCCGAGCAAAATAGTCATAGATCACATGTTTCTGTCCTTTTGAATTGTTTTGGGGGGCTACTGTAGGTATATTTCTTTTGTCGGGAGTAAACCCTTGTATGTCGGGCGGGGGGTCGGGCCTGTTGCTGTCACACTTTCCTATCACTCGTGCTGCTGGGGATAACACCTGGGTTTATTTTGCATGTAAGGATTATTCTGAATGCACAATCCACACATGGGATTTTCTCCCGCTTTCAATTTTGACTGAAAGATTGGCCAACATATCTTTGATCTTGAAAGTTGGAACTTTCGTTATCAAAATGTGGATGAGCTACGTGTCCAAACAATTCAATCATTGCACCTTCAAACCCAGCCCGTGTGAATAGTCACTTCTCATATCATAAGGTTTTGATGAAGGTATTGGGCTTCAGTTTTTCATGCCCACGGTCCCCTATCCCAAAAGAATGGGGATTGGTATCCCAATAAGGTGGGTATGGGGACCCACCTTAGTGCCGGATGAGTATCTCCAAATCACCCATGCATTTAAAAAAATGACCATAATTGTTCCGTTCATATCATATCCCATACTCAAAATGGAAATATCAAATCCGAAATCCAGAATCCGGTCAACTTTGCAGCTGATTGCAAATCCTCTGGATTCAAGATTCTAGATTCACAAAACTGAGAGAAAGTCTCCGAATCTAATCATATCCAGGCATGGATTCAAGATTCCAGATTCTGAGACTTTTTCAGAATCTTGAATCAGGTCATGTTTGCAACCGATTGCGTTGAATGGCCATGAAATTGCAATGTGTTGAGCTTCTAGATCCAATATCATCTTCAAGGACCGAGAGAGGACTAAAAAAATAACATGCAAAAAAGGACAAAACATCTTACTATGTAAATATCAGCAAAATATGGAAAAAGGTTGGGCTTGGGGTACCATTACATATCATATAGAGAATATATAGAGAGATATCCGTATAGTTGACGCAAGTCAGCCCTTGTACATACTCCCAGTAGTTTACCCCTCCAGTCCGAAGTTTGATTGATTATCATCAATGTCCCCACTACAATGGCCATTTGATGGTTGAACTCATTGTTTTTCAAACAACAGTCCTTTTTTAGATGTGTTCAGCATATCAACATAACATAGTCTGTTAGATCAAACAACCTCTATCTTGTAGATGACTTACCTACTTGAGGTTGCATGTCCAGTATTAATTATAAGTTTGTTTTGAAGTAGCCCATATTTCTACGGGCCCCATATCCCAACTTCATCAACATATGAAGCTTAAAATTCCATACTAGTTACCCTCGGTAAACTAACATAGCTATGGAAAATCGCCATTTTCAATGGGAAAATCCACTATAAATCACCATTTTCAATAGCTACGTTAAATTACCAGAGGGTATACCATGTTATATCCATTAATAGCCCAAACTGCACCCCTTTGCCGAGTGAAACTTCTGATCTCCACCGGAACTTCGGCCGAGGCTGGGACGCTGCGAATCCTCGGCGGCGGAATCCTCGGCTGCGTGGGATGGCATGGCAGGGTACAACGGATCGAATGGGTATATTTAATGGAAATATTTAATGGGGATATTTTTTCGGATTTGACCGACAAAAATTGGAATTCAAAAAAAAACAACTATCATGGGGATATTTGATGTGAGATAATGGGATATTCTATAACTAAGGATATGAGATATGTCGTAGGGATATGACTTTAGGTATTGTAGATTTGGGGTAAGATAAGCGTAATTTATATATATATATATTATATCAAGAGTATGATACGATCTGTGAAACGACTGGAATAGGATACAGGTTTGTCATGGTTTCCGCATTTTCTCAACCATTAATAATGGGGAAAATTGGAATATGTAATGTGAGAGATGGGATACAACTAACGATATGATATGTGTCATAGGGATACGGTTTAGAGTAATGTAGTTTTTGGATACAGTATATACAATTGGAATGTATACCGGGCATCATGGGTATATGATGGGATATACAACCAACAATATGGCAAACTCAGAAATGGAGTCCCCAAGATTTGCATTTGTGATTGGAATGATGAGAATCCACAGGATTTGGAACAGCAGTACAGCGAAGCCCCCAAGGGAAAACTCAGCGTTTGGAGAAGCATGGATTTCCATATCAACATGAATTTACCGGATGGTAATGATGGGAATAACTGGCAGTTTAATGGTGGAACAATACTTGGAATTCACGATGGGGTATACCACCACCAGGGGGTATAGAATGATCTACTGTCAAGATACCAGTGGTAAGTTTCAACTCACCTGGAAAAAAAAAAACGTCAACTCCCTACCATCACCACATCCTTGGAGACCGGACATGAAATTTTGAGACCACCAACCAATATGTGTTTAGGAACGAACAGAACTGGGGATTCAACAAAACATAACAAAACCACATGGGGAATG